ACCCGCTCACCCCTGCCAGGCTGTGCGTGGGGCAGGACCAAGGCTGCAGGGACCTTCCGGGACGGCTGGCACCCTTGGGTGAGGGGGGACCACGTCATACTAGAACCCAACGTAACGCAAACGCATGCGGTGGAAGGTAAGGACCCCGCAGTCCTAGACATTTCCAAGAGCTGGTTTTCATAAACTCGGATTCCACGGGGTGAAAAATCCCACCGGAAAAAACACAACACCTCGAGAACCTTGGAAAGGGGACCATAAAAGCCCAGGCCGGCCCAATACCCCCCCGAGAAGAAAGACAAGCAAGGAACCCCAAAAGAAACCGCTCGGACGAATGGACGTCTCCTTCTGCCTTCAAACTACGATTGAACAGCGCAACGGATGGGGGCGAACATGGTTAGCCCCCCCCCTCCCTCCCCCCCCACATGGTGGCTCTCGTCAGTTGCTCCGCTGCATAAACCGGAGGGAGAGAGAGGGTGAGAGAAAGTGCGAGGGATGTGTGTATATATGCCTGTGATTTCCCATGCTCTGCTTGTCGGATGAGCTCCACCCAGATCAAGGCACTTGGAGGTCATCTAGCCCAACCCCACCCCCCAACCAAGCGGGAGACCCAACCCCATGGTTGACCGATGGCAGTCCAGCTCTCCGCCTGAAAGCCGCCAGGGACAAAGCATCCCGCAAACTTCCGAAAGCAGGGTGTGTGAAATGGCTTACCGGTTCACCCCGGTTCAGCCGACCCGGTAGCCAAAAATGGCTCCCTCTCGAGCGGATTGGCGCGGCAGAGCCTCCGCTGGCGTCACTTGCGAAAATGCGCGCTCAGCCAAACCCGGGAGTGAAACTGGTCGAATCCCACCCCCTTGTTCCAATGGCTCGGTTGCTCTGGCTTGTCCGGAGTCCAGGCTTGGCACGGAAGCCAGGCTGCCTTGGCCCCCAAACTTGGGAATATATTTTCGGCAGCTCCCTGACCTCACCGGCAGATGATCCCGGGACGGCTGCCCAAAACAAACCCAAGGGGCTATTTATAGAGGCCGCCTCAGGGTCAAGGAGAGGCTTCCCTCGGGCCGCAGGGCCGCTGTTCCTCCAGGGCGGCTGTGGCACGCTGCCCCCTCCTTCCAGGAAGGCCTTCCAGGAGTGGCCGAAGGAGGCCGGGCCTGGCTGAGGGGGGGGGGGGGGGGGGGAGGTTGCCGAGATGGCCCGGGCCTTGGAGAGCAGGGAGGCCCTCCTGGAGTGCCGGGACCCCGTGGTGCACAACGCCCTCTACACGGGGAACCTGGCGGAGGTGCAGCGCCATTTCTCCGGACGCTCCGCCGTCAACCTGCTCATCCACGCCCAGAGCCAGGACCTCCGCTGGACCAGCCACAAATGGGGTAAGAGCAGGGGGCTGCCCAGCCGGGACACTCCGCTGGCGGCAACCGGGAGGAGGATCCAGGGCGCAGGCGGAAATCTGCCTGCCGTCTTGTCAACCATGGTGTCAGATCTCTTCTGCTTTTTTGGGGGGGGGGGGTTGGACTAGATGACATCCAAGGTCCCTTCCAACTCTTGTTAAGTCTGTAATCTGTAAATCTGCCCCCCCACCCCCCATGGCCAACTTGCTGGGGGTGGAGCCTTTGAAGGCTTTGATGGAATCATTCAAAATCAAAATTATTCTTATTAATATTAATAATAGTAAAAATGATAACAATAACAACAACAATAACAACAACAACAACAACAACAATAATAATAATAATAATAACAATAATAATAATAATAATAATAATAATATTGTGTGTGATCCCAATTGTAATTGGAGCCGCCTCGCTATTTGGAAATCCTGAATGGATTAGTCTTGAATACCCTGATTCTACAAAAAGCCACCGTACCTGGAACAGCTTATATCCTCTGACGCTACCTGAGCGGTTCCCAGGTCCTGGGTTAGGACTCGAGCTGTTGAGCTACCAACCAGCCCCAAAGGCTGTGAATCTCACTAAAGATGATA